GAAATAGACCACTCAAACGATTTGCTGCTATAGAGAAGCTTTCTGTTTCAATAATGTCGTCTGAAGTAATTGACTACAACGATTGAAGTCGAAGACAAAATGAAAACGTAGTATTCATTGAGTTTTTCTTCTTTCAGTCTTTTGAGTCATAGGACCTCTGTGCTATTAACAGGGGTATAGGTTCTCGTTGCTTAGATCAGCTGTGATGCTTAGATACAACCTATAAAAGATGTGAGATAAATCTCTTTGTGCTCTGAGTAAATACGTGTCAGCAAGAGACTGTGATCTTCATCGCTGTGAGAGATTTGCCTCGTACCGAGGAGTTAGCATTTCTTGCTCCGCAAGGAATGTTACTGTTATGCTCAAATCCAACCGTAGGAAATGTGTCATTCGGCCATTGCCTGAGGCCGATGTACAATTTGGTCATTTCCCATCTGGGAAGGCTGTGGCTATAAATAGCCACCCCTCTCCAACGTTATTCGTTGGATACTCCACTTGAGATTTCTAAAAGATTGATTTGAGCAACCCCTCTTTGAGCGATTTGAGTTTAAGATCCACCGAGAGAGAACCAAGAGCCCAAACTTAGACAGTGGTTTAGCATCACAGCAGTTATGAGTGAGAGTTCTTGTACCTGTTACTCTTGAGAGCTCCACACTCTCTAGACGGATAGGTTTGGCTTTGAGTGTTGAAGAGTTGTTGTCTTCACCGAGCCTGTTCTTCAGCAACCAAGAGTGATTGTGGTTCGCGAAAGTCGATCGAAGGTTTGGAGATTGCCGACAAGGATCTACCACGAGTGAAATCAACCTGAGTCTGATCAGCTCTGTGTTGAAGGACAATATGGTGAAGAGAGTTTATCTTCCGTGTTAAGTCACAGCCCCTCTAACTAGAGGTAGCGCTTTGGCAGAAGGGTGAACTGGTCTACCAAATCTCTTGTCACCATTGAGCACCACTGGTTATATCTACTCTACTACAATTCATTCAGTAGTTTTCATTCGCGCTCAGTGCCACTAGATTCTTTGATCTTTGTTCTGTTATGTGCCGCTTATCATGTGTTGTAGCTTCAAATCATTTCATTATCTTCGTCCTTATTCCTACATTATTAGTTTGAATCCTAGTAACTCTGTCATTGCATTTCCTTTAGTGTTCGTTGTGTTTCGGTTCATTCTGTTACACTTGTTTTCTTGTTGTATAACTCTCATCGTAATTAAACCCATTATCCATCAAGCTTGCTCTGTTATAAATGCTTTTCTAGATGAATATGCTTCTAACGAAGAACTCTGATTCAAAGCATTTCTTTCAATACTACATTCCGCTGTGATGTGTGGATTAAGTTTCAAAGCTTTCGAAAGAAAATTTGAATCTCCCATTCACCCCCCCCCCCTCCGGTCGATATACTCTCGGTCCTAACATTTTTTCTATTTAAGATTCTTTTGTTATTTACAAAAGGAAATAAAGCCAACAATAAATCATTAAAAGGGAAGTAACAACAAGAGGTAGATAGATAGTGAACGTGAAATAAAGGAAAGGAAAAAATTATGAAAGAAGACAACAAAATAAAACAATAGAAGGCACAAGCCACCTCACGAGGCTGGCCCATACGGCCAATGCTAGTGAGCAATAACTCCCGTTGCTGCTTATAATAAAGGAGATATAGTAGTACCCCATAAAAGTAAGTTGGGATAGAAATAGAAACCCTCTCTTCTAGGGCATCCATGATGTGACCAAAGCCAAATCTCTAACACACAACAACATATGGCATATGTGTCAAATTTTATGTTTGTCTCCAGTATAGCCATTTTTGTGACCTCTTGCAACATGGGCTTGATTTTGACACAAATTAGTATAAACAATTCCCTCCCTAACTTTTTATCTACTCCACTCATGCAAGGGGAGAGTGAATGCAAATCAAATGTTTTTATTGTCCAACCCAATTTGGTATCGGAGCATGTAGCTACTCCGATTTTCATGTTTACAAGCTTAGCTAGTGCCATGCCGTCCACCATCGGTGATGGGCCCACATGCCCCTGCTTCCTCTACCTGTTGCTCCAGTGGTGAAGGGGCGGGGAACCAAGTGCCTCGTTCCCTACTCCTAGATATGCTTAGGGTTTTCTGACAGTAGCGCTTAGGGCGGCGAAGGAGTTTCAAAATAAAAGACTTTCTATAGAAGACCACCAGACCCAAATGTTTTTGTTCAGTGTGACTGCGACCAAGACCAGGCTATAGAAGTGTGTCATCTTGCTTACTCACATTGTGGGGGTTGTGTGCACTCCAAAGTCGTTGTGAGAAATGTGATGTCTTATTGTGTACTCCCTCCGTTCGGAATTACTTGTCATAGAAATGGATGTATCTAGACGTATTTTAGTTCTAGATACATCCATTTCCGAGACAAATAATTCCGAACGGAGAAAGTATAAGTCATCAAGTGTTACGTATCTCTCACAACAACAGCGAAGGCATGTGTGGGATGGCCAAAAATCGACGAGGGTCCTCTAAAATGAACCACGAAAAAGAAAGGAGATATCTTTTTTTTTCTTTAGAACTGACGCACCGAGAGTCCCCCGCCGACCGACAGGCGGCTCAGACAGCAACCACCGTCATGGATCATTATCTGATCCATGGCCCAGATAAAAAAACATACGACCTGGTCCACGGTCTAGCGGGGAAGCTACGGTCCTGGTCCACGGCCCAGCCCGAGCTGGCGCGACGTCCGTATTCGTGGGTTTTCTCCATTTACCGAAGCTCGACCCTGACACGCCAAATCGCCGCACTGCAGATTCGCACCCAAATTAGACTCCAGTCCCCAGTCCGCCGTCCCGTCACCGGAGTTCCGCCCGCCGCCCGCCGCCCCGCTGCGCCCGCATTTTCCTCACCTCCAGTATGTATCCGCCTGGCCGCTTCTTCCGCGGTACGGGCCCTAACGCCGGCTGCACAATGTCCGACACTGAGCGCGGTAAATCCCCTCCGCCCCTATCCCCATTGAACCCTAAGCCCAGATGTGATTCGATTGCTCTGTTCTTGTGCAGATTTCAGGCAATTTATTATTATTCCTAGTATGCAGTTAACTCATACACCATTTTTGGGATATTCTCAAGGGTTCAATTCGTGCTAGTTCATCCTGTAAAGGTTCATGCTTTTTGGGGCAGTTCATAGTGGAACCTGTTATTCATTAGTTTTCCAATCTGAAACAGCAGAGGACATCTTTGGGAGCTGGATATTAGCCATCTAATTTTCGCAACCTGAATAGCTTTTGTGAAGTTGTAATTTTTGGCCTCTTACTATATCTTCTTGTGAATCGCATATTGTTTCTACACATTTATGTTTGTTAAATGGAGAACTGTGTGTGATTATTAACCCCTCTATGTGTACTCCTACCTTGGCGTAGGCATAGCGGCACTTGGTATAAATTACAATCGTGTTCTCAAGGCGGCTCGGGACACCCACCCGCACCCTGACACTCTGGGACGCCTCCAGCCGGTGCTGATGGGCGCCATGATGCATTGTCTCTCCGATGACGCGGATTCACTCACAAGGAGGATGGATGACTTCCTTGTCAAATTCAGCAAGTTCACCAGGAAGATGGACGACATCAGCGCGCGCCTCCAGGCCACGCGCAGCCCGAAAGGCCGCCGCTGCGGCATCTCCCCCGCTGCCCAGCTCGCCGGCCTTTATGGAGATGATCTCTTCCGCGCGCTGATGGGCGTGCAGCTGCCCGTGGCCACACCTGCGGAGGTCTGCCTGGAGGTCGCCCTTGCTGCACAGCGCCTCATCGTGCATGACCAGCTCGACCTTTTCATCAACCTCTTTGAGAAGACTGTCTTCGGGGCCAACACTACGACGATCAGGGAGTACAACATCATGGCCTTCAAGGACCACAGGAAAACCTTGGAGAAGTTCGTTCAAGAGCACATTGACCTCGCCGACGCCGCTGCCACTTCACATCCACCTACCGGCCGAGCACAGTAGAAGTTCGGTTGCGATTATTAACCTAGCTAGCTGCAAAGACGAAGGAGGGTTGTTGATGTATCCTATTTGGCTTCCTTATGTAGTTTGCTGCATCATCGTTGTCGAGCCAACTTATGTATGCATTAGTGTATTATGCTACTTTTCAGCGATCGAGTCTGTCTTAACTCTTGAGTCGTAGTAATAGTTGCTATCAAGCTGTGCCCTGTGCGCTTGCTCGCTATAACTAATTTTGTACAACGTAATTTGTTTGGCACCAAGTTCTGTTAGTAATAATATGAATGTTACTTTTGTCGTTCTGTATTACATGCCTTTTATTTTAATTCATGCACCATGCATCTATATATTTTGCCTGTCCTTTAGTTTGATGAAGATGCATACAAATGTTCACAGGCTGACATGAACAAATTGACATTGATTAACAAATGTCTTGAGTGTTTGTTTCACAAGTGTTTCATCTTCCAAGCCTGCAAGCAAGCCTGCTAACCATGGTTTCAAATGAAGCTGAAGATTATGACTAACAAACACATGCCAAATGGCGTAATTGTCCTTGAGTATTTTCAGGCTTCCGACTGCCTAATGCAAAGTTGTTTGGATTCAGGGTTGTCCAGTTGTTCAGTAATGTTTAAACGTTGATGATTTCCTTTTTAAGAATAAAATCTTCCATACACTGGTAAGTACTAATTTATCTTTTCTTTTGTGATTTATGTACTACTTACTTATTTCTTATCCCAAAGTCCCGAGGCCCTTTAATAGCTTCTCTCAAAATTTCATCATTCTTTTCCCCCTAATAACCTGGCTATGGAACTATTGGCATCTGAATGAACAGTTGCATCAATTATTTATTCACTGAATGCAATGTATATCTATAAGAAAAACAACTGTGTCTACTGGCGTTGCTGCTTGATTGCTTGCAAGATTATAGTGCATTACACAGCAATTTTCCTTCTCCATTGCTTATATCTAACTATCTACACTATCCAGGTAAACTACAGAAAACAGAGAACAAGAACAGGCTCTGCATGCATGTTCTTCAGGAGCTACAAACAACTAATTTGCTTGCTGGCTCCAACAGTTGGAATTGCGCAACCAGTGTAGTGACAAGATGTCACCATGGAGATCAGCAGTGCGTTCTCGACTTCGACGGAGGCATTTCGCCTGAGCAAGCACATGACATACTCCATCACTCCGGCATCACAAGGCAGTGTGATCTTGTCATCGCTTGCGAAGCCAAACGCCTCCTGGGACATCCTCAGCAGTTCGCTGAAGATCGTCGTGCTGAGGTACACCAATGCTACCTCAAAGAGCCTCCCATTGGCTGTGTACATGACACAGTGGCCCTTGACTGCTACAGAGATGCTGCACTTCTCATTTTCTTTGGCTGTTGTTGTCAGCCTCTTCCTCTTAAATGCTGACATCCTCTGCCACTTCTTTGCCTATTGAGCAAGTCGCTTGGCGCTGATCATGGTTGTTTCCGGGTCTTGTTTTCCAGCTGGAAACCAGAGAAGTGAGCTATGGATGCTGTAATGCTGTTTGGTGGTGTATGAGCTGATGGTGTTGAGCATAGCCGTTCACTGAATTTATTTCCGAGAGGAAGGACATGGTGATGGTGAAGTGTAGTTGTCATTACAAAAGATGGCAAGAGACATGGCCATGGGATCAGCACATGCAGTGTTGTACTATGATTCATTTGGATTTGATTGTGATGGGGCCAAATGTTTGGAACATGCTGGATCCAATAGCGGTGGCATTAAACCATTGGTTTGCTCTCATATCATTTGTCAGTTTGGCAAGCTGGTGAAGACAAGGCCATGATCTATTCTGTGATTTGGATATGGATGAATCGGGTTGATATATCATCAGTGTCAATGATCGGTCGCCTCTTAACTTTTGGCCTCAGATTGGTTGTTGATCGGTTAGATGCGTTCGTCTGCCTGAATCCATTTGCTCAACAGATGTCGCTGTTTTTTCAGCTTGTGATCTGATCCACGTCCAGCATCTCATGTGGTCTCCATTTCACTCTTTTTCCCCCATTTTGACTTCTAAGAAAGAAATACAAACTCTGTTCTGAAAGGTATATTTCACTACTTAATTCTTCACAAAACTGAGATCTTTATCTAGGATTATTCAAGTGTTTGATAACTAGTTCTCAGTTGCTCAATCTGCAGGTGTACATTAGCTATTCAGCAGTTTAATGGAAGTTTTCTTTCATCTAATTCTAGGCAGGTAACATTTGTTGAACTCATGTGATATGCATACTTGAATGTACACCCTCTGTTTTTCCGTTCAATGATAGGCAAAGCTCCTGTGTCATTCTTCAAGGAAAACATGTGCAGGACTCATCAGTTTTATAGTTTCTTAAATATCAGCGCACATTAGTTTTAGTTTTAAAGCGTACGCCCTGACTCAGGTTTGTTAACACACAAATACAGCTGTGTTACTAAAGCTTTGCCAGTTACACACTGACTCGGAAACAAACAATTGTACACTTTGCCTGATCTACTAACATCATATTCACATCTTCCGTTGAACAAGAAATGGTGCCTTGAGCAAGAATCCTAGATAGCTGCTATTCTTCAGTAACTAACAAACAGCTACATGCTGGCTAAGCCCTAAACATGGCGCCACCACACCGCTGTCAAAGCAGCACGGCCTCTCAATGGAGCTCAGGAATGCTGTCACTACTTCCGCAGGGGCCTCTCTCCTGAGCAAGCGCATGGCGTATTCTGTCACTCTGGCGTCAAAGGGCAGTGTGATCCTGCCATCGTTGCCACATGCAAACCCAAACTCCTCCTGAGACATCCTCAGGAGCTCGCCGAAGACCGCCGTACGGCAGTGGCACCACCTCGAACCGCTCCCCATCTGCTGTGTACACCATGCAGTGTCCCGTCACCGCTACTGAGTTCATCGCGAAGCACTCCTCGGCTCCTCTTTTCACCGTCGTAGTCTAGGTGATCCTCTTCCTCCCCATGTCCTCCATCCTCTGCCACTTCTTAGCCAATTGGGCAAGCCTCTTGGCACCGACCATGGCTGGTTCTCCTTGTTTCTTGGCTGAATATTCAGAGAAACTTTTGTACTCACTAGGTGTTGTGGTGGTGGTAAGCTGATAGGGGAGCCTTGGCGCAGTGGTAAAGCTGCTGCCTTGTGACCATGAGGTCATGGGTTCAAGTCCTGGAAACAGCCTCTTACAGAAATGTAGGGAAAGGCTGCGTACTATAGACCCAAAGTGGTCGGACCCTTCCCTGGACCCTGCGCAAGCGGGAGCTACATGCACCAGGTTGCCCTTTTTTTTTTTAGGTGTTGTGGTGGTGGTAAGCTGATAGATTTATATAGGTGAGAGTGGAGAGCAGCATCATGGTGTGCAGTTGGCAAGGGACAGACATGATGAACTCAGAACATGCAATGCTGCAAGAGTGCAGGGGGCAAGCAACGTGATGTTTGTCAGCTGTTGGAGACTATCGTACTAGCAGTGTGGTCTTGGGTGCTTGGACATTACAAATTGCTGCCATACTGACATGTTTCAAGTAGTGCAGGGTGCAAGTATGACCGAGGACCACCTGGAAGTGGGTCCGTTTTTTTTTTTGTGATCATTTGTGGTCCGTTTTTGTTTGCTGCCATTCTGCCATACTAATGATCCATATAAATTACTAATGATTACAAGTATACAGAGTGGACCCTGAGATGGAGACATCCGGGCTGACATGCAACTCCTAACAATCTAGCATGTGATCTGCTTGCTTGTTCTTCTTGCATTTCTTGTCTCTTGGATACATGAGTACATAACGACGTTGTAGAATCAAACTTGTTGTCTGCTTGCTTGATCTTCTTGCCTTTATTTGTTTCCTGTGAAGGCGGCACATCTCAGTTTGAAGCCGAACCAGATGTCTCATGTGTGTTTTGTTGACTGCTGAGTTCCAGTGCATGTGTTACCTCCGTCCCGTAATAAGTGTCTCAACTTTGCACTAACTCTAGTACAAAGTTTTACTAAGGTTAAGACACTTATTTTGGGACGGAGGGAGTACTGTATTTGAAATGTGATGTTTCCAGTTACATTTGATTTTCCTTGTGCAATGTGTTGACTGCTCGGTTCCAACAGCCATGTATGCACATCAACAATGAATATATACTGACCAGTTCAGTTAAGTGCATGCACCTGTCTGTCAGTGAATGCAGCCATTGCCACTCTCTTTACAGCAGAGCATCTCTCCCTTCACCCATACATCGTTATCATTGTTTGGCCTTACACTTGTCTGTCTGTCTATCTGCGTGGCAAGGCCATACTGACGTAGCATGCTGTTATCTTAGCTTTACACTTGCAGTTAGCATTCTGGTCAGGCCAGCATGGCAACACACTCTTTTGATCTCTGATTAGACCACATTGTTTTTTTTTTTTTTGAAAGACCCAGCTATGTTGCTGGCATTTCATTGATTTAGGTAGAAGAGAGCGGGAAACATTTTGCGATCAAGTGATCAAAGGGAGTAAAAAAAAGAGAAGGGGATCCTGCCGCGCTAGGGGATTGCGGTGATAGTGCTATGTTACAATTTCCTGAATATCCCCGAAGGGGCTCACAAGGTGTTTTGCTTCCACGAGTCTCCTGCTCAAAATTTCTTCGGATGGCGTTGATGATTTGCTCCCTAGATGTTGGCTTGTTCCTGAAGGTTTGCTTCGTTGCGTGCTTGCCATATCTCCCAAGTTATTAGCATGATCAGCGATTTGATCCCACGTCGCGCCTCTTTTGCCGTTGCTTGGATGATCGTCTTCACCACTTCTGTAGTTGATCGACTGGGGCCCCAGCACGTTGGCCTTAGTGCAGAGCAGTCGGTCCAGCTGCTAGCCTCAGTCCAGTTTGATCTCCAGAAACTAGCCAGCTTGCTGTCGTTGACCTGAACCTTCGTGCAATCCTCAAAAAGCCGGCGATCGATTAGACCATTAGACCACATTGTCATCTTGGCTTTACACTTGCAGTTAGCATTTGCATGTTCTGTCTGTCACTTGCCTCTACTTTTCAACCCTGCGTTTAAGTACACCAAACAAGTACGTATATACTCTCTCTTTGCCAAATTACAGTGCATATAAAATTTGGTCACAGTCAAATTTTGTAAGATTTGATGAAGTTTATAGGAAAAAATATGAACATTTACGATACCGAACATATGCCATATGAAAACATATTCCTTGATGAACCAGGTGTCAAACTCTATGGAGTATTTCATTAGTGAAGATATGATTAATCAAGCACCCAAAATGATTAGTTTGTATCACAAACTGAAATGGACCCAATTTACAGACGGTCTCCATGTGCTTCTTATATTTGACATTAAAACAGATCGAGTATGGCAGCACGCTATGATATCCAACCACACCCCAACTCTACAATGCTAGTTATGCCCAACAAGTGGCAAACCGATAGCCCCAAACAAAAATTAAAATCTACTCCCTCTG